ATTATCATAATTTTGGTATAGATGATAATTGTGCCAAAGCGTTTGAATTATTTTTAAATGCAGCAGAAAATAAATTTTCAATTTCACAAGTTTATCTTGCTAAATGTTATTATCATGGATATGGAATTGAATGTAATAAAAAATTATCATTTAAATGGTATCAGAAATCTGTGGAAAATGGAAGCATTATTGGGCAATTTTACTTAGCACATTGCTATGAATATGGTATTGGAACACAACAAAATAAAAAGAAATCAGTATATTGGTATCACAAAGCAGCTAACAATGGAAATATCGTTGCAAAATTTCATCTTGCAAGTTGCTTTAGATTAGGAAAGGGAATTAAAAAAAATGAAATTAGAGCATTTAAATATTATGAAATTTTAGCTAAACAAGAAATTGCTGATGCTCAACATCAACTTGGAAACTGTTTTTATAATGGAATTGGAACAAAATTAGATAAAGTACAAGCTTGTTGCTGGTATGAAAAAGCTGCATATAATGGAAATATTATTGCAAAATCTATTTTTGAACAAAATTATAATAAAAAATTAAATCTTAAAAAAAACAAAGATAAAGATGTAAAGTTTTATAAAACTATATATTTTGAAGGATTAAGGCGAATTGGTATGAATAATTATGATGGAATCGGAATAATGCAAAACTATGAAAAAGCATTTTATTATTTTCAAAAAGCTGCAAAAAATGGAAATAAAATTGCACAATATAATTTAAGTATTTGTTATAAAAATGGCGAAGGCACTAAAAAAAATTGTATAAAAGCTTTTGAGTTTTTCAAAAAGTCAGCTGAACAAGAATATATATATGCACAATTTCAGCTTGGATATTGTTATGACATGGGATATGGAATTGAATTTAATAAAGAAAAAGCATTTGAATTTTATCAAATAGCAGCTAAAATTGGATATGATGCTGCACAAAACAATCTTGGTTGCTTATATGAAAATGGTGAAGGTATAGAAAAAAATTTAGAAAAAGCCTTTTGTTGGTATCAGAAAGCAGCTGAAAATGGACATGAAGTTGCACAAGTTAACCTTGGCTGTTTATATGAAAGAGGTGAAGGTATAAAAAAGGATTTAGAAATGGCTATTTACTGGCATCAAAAAGCAGCTAATAAAGGTGATATGATTGGACAGTATAATTTGGGTGAATGTTATGAATTAGGTAATGGTGTTGAAAAAGATATGCTGAAAGCATTTGATTATTATCAAAAGGCTGCTAATCAAGGAGACTTAAGTGCAAAATTTCAGCTTAGATATTGCTACATAAATGGAATTGGAACAGAAATTAATAAAGCGAAAGGATTTGAATTATATAACGAGGCAGCCGGAACAAAAAATTTTGATGTGCATAAATTATCATATAATGAGCTAACGAGTGATCTAGATAAAGTTAATGATTGGTATCATGTAGCTGCAAATGATGATAATAAAGTTGCATTATACAATTTAGGTGTAATTTATGAAACAGGAAAAGGGATTGATCTAAATTTGGATAGAGCATTTGAATTTTTAAGAAATCAGCTAATCAAGGATATCTGGAGGCTCAATATAAAGTAGGAAATTATTATGAGAATGGAATTGTAGTTGAAGTTGATAATAAAAAGGCAATGAACTTATTTAAAACAGCTGCTGAAGGAGGAAATTTCAATGCGCAAAAATGTCTTGCAAATTTATATAAAAATTTAAATGATGAATAAGAAAATTATAGAGAATGTTGGATCATTTTTTTAAAATAACAAATTCTTAATTGTAAAATAGACATAAAATTTACTAATTATTAAATCATATCATAATTTCCTTTTTATATATATAAATAATTGTTAACGATTGGAAAGTTTGGAGATATATTGAAAATGCTTGTTTTTGTTTTAAAAACATTAAGTTTGATGCGAACTGCGGTCGGTTATAATGCTGAATAAACAATTTTTAAGCTTTACAAACCTCCGTTTTCTAAATGATAAGTTTCAAATAAAAATTAAATATCTTTGTTCTTAAGAAATTATTTTTTTAAAACATGACATGATACTTTCCCCTAAAATATAATCAAATAAATTCCAGTATTACCATAACAAATACAGCACAAAAATATGATTCGTTTTGTGTTCATCGTTGTTAGCTTATATAGATATATACTGTATATTATAAGAAAATAAATTGAAAAGATTACATTTTAGAATAAAAGATTCTATAAAAATTGCTTTGAAACTTAGGGTTGGATTAGTCCGTACCGGTCCAGTCCAAACTTTTGTTTACAGACCGATTTACGTATTTCACCTGATATACAGTATACATAATTGTAAAAATTTGATCATAAATATAAAAATATAATGATAATTGCGTACAAAACGATTACTGCGCCTTCTTAATTTCGTTATTTCTCCATTTCTGACATTTTCATTTCAGACATTGTTACAGTAAAATATTAGGAGTTCCAAGACTGGATTATGGATTGGTCCGGTCCATAAGAGAAATGAAAGCCAGACCTGTTTCTCAAAATATGGACTGAGGACCGCAAGGACCGGTCCTAATAACCGGTCTAAGACCTATCTTAGAAGTGATCCATCCCTAGTTTGAAACTCATTCAACTTTAAAGTTTTATGCAGCAGAATAATACTTATAGGCCAGCTACATACATTCATCATTGACTTACTTATTGCATCACGCTGAAATTGTTAAAATAACAGATAAACCCAAATTCTGTCATTGAAAGCTTTCTTGGGTAAAATTTTCCATAAATTCAATATTAAAAATAAAAAAAGTGTATATTTATTTTTAATACTTTGTGTAAAATTGCTAAATTAAAGATACAACTTTTATATTTTTCTCCACATTTTTAGCATAAAGTCTATTTTTCTAATACCGATACCGGAAAATCTAAATTCAATGAATTTCTTGCTATTGTATTGGATTAACCAATATTAAAAAGCGTATCTTCTAGTGTGTTTTAAAATATTCACAATTCTGGTTCAAGTTAATCAATAGTAAGATGTTGTTAAATAAAAAATCTTCTATTGTTACATTTCCGTACCTTCATGTTATTTAAAAAGGTCATTTACTTTTGAGATTTGTTACTAATGCAAATGCAATTTTTATAATTATGAGGTTTTATAGATATTCTATACCTTTCATCATGACTTACGTATTGAGTTAGCAGAATTGTTTTGTTGTTAAGAAAATAAGAAGAATTTATTATAATTAGGTTCCTTTTGCGAGAGCATTTAAAATGTGCTGCTCAAAGAATCAATTATGTATGAGATATATTCTTAAAATAATCTATTGTTAAATTTGATGAAATAAATTCTTAATAGAATCATTTCTTTGGGATCGCAGTCCTCGACCATCGTATACGCACAAATTTAGGATTTTACTTTTTTATTGATGGAGTAATATACTAATATTTCATAAAAATGGATGATGACATTTATTTTGTGTTTTTAATTTACAGTTAATACAGTAGTATCAGCGCTCATTCTAATGTATTGTTACACTTGAATGTAAATTCCGGCTGAGATCTCCATAATTCCGCATGAAAATCGATTTCGATATTTACAGTTAGTCTTTTGATGATCATTTGCCAGGTTGTCAAGGCGGTATGACAAAATGTTCAAAACGCCAGGCTGGACCTAATTATTTTTTTTATATATACGAGCTGGATATCCTTAAACAACTCAATATCCACGCACGCCCTTGTTATATTTCTTTATTACATTCCCTTCGAAATCCTCCCGATTTCGCTGTTTCAACTTTTTAATTTCGCATATGTAACATCGTTTATTATTTTATTTTTTTTAATTCCTGATTTTATTAGTATTTTATAATTCAATTTTATGTAACTATTTCGTAATTTGCACAGTTTTAATTAAATAGAATTTATTTCTTGGCATTTATACAAAGTTAAATTATTGTTCAAGCGAAAGTGTAGAGCGCCGACGTTGAGGCAACACTGATTAATTTGATAATATTAAATAAATATTCTGTCATTGATTGTTACTTCATTTTTACTCAATGAAAAACTTCTGCCTGCTTACATTTAAAATTGTTTATAAATACATAAACGAAAGAACTGGATACAACAGTATTAATACAACGTTTTAACAAATTTAAATAGCACACAAAGATATAGCAATATTTTTGATATATCCCATATCAAATCAATGACGAATTATGACGTGCCAATAACTGGCAAAATGCGTCTGTTCTCTTAATCCATGTTGCCGCTTTATACTAGAAATCTTGATTCTTAATAGAAAATAAAGCAGGTCTCTTAATAACTTTTTTCTTTTAGTAAAACATATGTAAACATCAAATTTTATATTTCAGTAAAGATTGTTTATAGACGCTTTCAAAAAATAACACGCGATTAAAGCTTTGTTTGAAATATAATTTGAAAATTTTCAAAGTTAAGGAGACGAGAAAAGTAAATTTTTACGAGGTATAAATAAAAGTATTTAAATTTGAAGTTCATACTACTTTTTAACAACATTAAATAATACTGTACAAATCTATTGAATTAATTAGTACTCTTTTTATTTCTCATGCTAAAAATGGAAATTTAAAAGTTCACGTGAAAGTTAGTCAATTCCTAGATAACGTAAAATTTTTAAAGGAATTTTCAGTTGGTTTTTAGATAATATATTAAATAAAGAATATCTTAATATTAAAGCATCGCAAAATAAGATAATGTAACCATTTTAATTATAACCCTGGTTCACAATTTATTATTTTTCCGTAAAAAATAATTTTACCCAATAAAACATTTACAATGATAAATTAAAAAGAACATTTAAATGTATAATTATTACTTGTTTGCGTAGTTAAAAAACAAATTAATTGAAATGTTTAAAAATTGTTGGAAAAAAAAATATTATTAAATTAAAATTTGTGAAAATTAATAAAATTATAATTAAAAATTGTGATTAATAAAATCAATATTCGTTTTTAAAGCTAAAAACCTCAATGATTAGGGGAAAACTAATTTTAAGCTTGTTTGATTTTAGTACTGCCAATTAACCGACCCTTAAATCTAATATTAAAGAATGCCTTTTCAATGAGTTCTCTAACGGTCAATTGATCATTATCAATATCAACTTTGAAACGTGGAGTACCAGGTGGTTTCATTTTTCCTTTTGCTTGTTCCCTAAAGATATCGGTAAGAATTAATTCGAGTCCTCCATTGGCATCTTCTAAAATTAATTCATAATCATCGACGTTTTTACTTTTGAAACCATCATTAAATTTTCCTATAACTCGAAATTTATCGCCTATATCCGTAAAGGTAACTAAGCCTACGACCTTGTTTTTTCCACCTTTTTTGAATTTAGCGAAAGCGTTATCGCGTTTACTCAATGGTGCACTTTGAGTTAATCCTACGAAGATCATGCAAACCAAGGCGATCATAACAAAAAGGGATAATTTTCTTGAAATCATTTTTTGATTGCGAAAATTAATAAAAATAATAAATGAATTTAATTTTAATATTTTTTTTTATTCAATTATTTATTTTTTCTTTTCTGTTGGAGAAAGGAGGGAAGTGAGAATGCTGCTTCTTTTATATGTTTCAGGATAATTAATTATCGCCTACAATTCATTAAAATATTTTTAATAAGACTAATATGCATTTAAATTTCATTTAAAAATTATTACATATTATTGCGTTTTTCTACAAAAAAAAAATTTGTAATCCTGAAGAATAATAATTATTTTTAAGACATTATTAATTAAATAACCAAATAAAGAATTGATCACCAGATTAGTACTTTCGTTTCATTTACAAAAATAGAAATGTAAAAAAAAAAAAACCTAATTGTACTTGAAGGTAAACTTCAAACCCGAGAATGGTCAAGAACGAATATGTCGATCATTTATTTAAATCACCTATGAATCATATTTAATAGCAATACACGCTTCAATTCCGTGGCACATTCTTGATTAAATTAAAATATACATCAGTTGAAATCTACTTCCATTCAGAGAACCTCATACTTTGAATCCGACGTTCTGATTCAAATCAGATGACGGACATATAATTTTTGAAAATTTTTAATTTTAATTTAAAATCAACCAGCAACAAGAAAAAAAAAATTGTATTTCATAAAACTTTGAATGTAACCAAACGAACTTAAAAAATTTTTTTTTCTTTTGAATTTTATTTTGATTATAGTTAAAAACGTAAAAGCGTTAGTTTCTAAAAAAAAAAAAAAAAAAAAAAAAAAAATGACTAATAAGATGGCAAAATTTGCACATCGAAAAGCTTGATTATTACCACTCGTTTGATCGAAAATCACAACTTTTTTAATCAGTAAAATGATTGTCAATGAGAGAGTACGTGTTTTTTATATTAATTTTAATTTGTCTCGATAAAATTTGTACAATTCTAAGTTTATTTATAGAACGTCAAGGTAATCAGTTTATAAGTTGTTTCAATTTGTTGCTTATAAATATCTCGACGTTGCACTTCACGGGACTTAGAAGCAAAATTCAATTTAAAATTGCTAGAAATCATATGACCCGTAACGTGATTTTATTTCGAGTTACTATTTATTTTCCATCTTTTAAATTTTGTCGAATGTTTATTAATTGACATTTTTACAAGTGGTAGAATATTTTCTTTTATGCTAATAGAAAATTCTTTAATTAATATTAACTGTACAGTGTTTAGATAAATAATAAGGTAATATGACTAACACCGTCTCAAATTTTTTACAAAATAAGCGTCTTTTGAATCAAATATTCAGAACACAGGCGGTAATTGATATATTTTGAAAGGTAGAGTTGAGTCAGGATAAGGAACAAAAAAACCTTTTTTAAAAAATTACTTGAAGAGTAATCACCATAATTTGTTGATACATATAACCAAAATCATTTATAGAATGGCTTTTGATAATTAAATGATGGGAGTGATCGAAATCATGAATTCATTCTTATATAAAATTGCTTTTATTTGAATAGGATAGGAAGACAAATATAAAGTAAGGTTTCCGTTTGAAATTCAAATTTCTTCAAATATTTGAAAGTTTTAAAAAAAAATTCAAACGAATTTCGAAATCAATTTCATTTCAATTGATTTATTTTAATCTTTCGGTTGGGTAAGTTATCTTATTTTAATTTAATTTTAATTGTAAATTTTTTTTTTTCCGATTTTCGGTTATTGAAATCAATTTCGCCGAAATGATTTTTAATAATTGATGATGTTCGAATATTTGAATTTTATTTATTTGCAAATTATTCGAATATCAATTTTCAAAGGGAAGTCCAAATATAAAGGTATTAAAATTTTCGAACAGAAAGCGATTATGACAATTAGGGTTTCAAATGATTTGGAATAAATTTTATGAATAATTTCTAAAAGGAGAATGAACTTTAAGATCGGTAATTTTCATGGAACCGGGTCAATAGGACCCAGTCCTAAATTTAAAAATAAAGATACTGGATTCCCGAATTACTTAATTTATTTAATTAATATATTATGATTAGAAAGTAAAATATAACGTCAGTAAAATAAAAATTCTGTTTAAAATAGTGTTACATAAACCGACATGAAGATCGTAAAAAAAATATTATTCTGAAATCAAACTATTTACGTGTGATTGCAATTTTGTATTCATCACAATGAAATCCCACATCAAAAGAAACATTCAATTTTTGATTTTTGTCAAAAAACTCAACATCATAAGTTTTAAGGAAACACATTAAAAATGTTTTCATGACAATCATAGCACCATGTCTACCTGGGCACACGCGCAATCCGGAACCAAATGGTAAATAGCTATTATATTTATGTGAAACATTTTCTGATCCTTTCATAAAACGATCTGGATTAAATTCTTCAGGATCCTTAAAGTATTCAGGATTCTTATAAATTTGTGCCATGAAAGCATTAAATCTCGTGCCCGCTTCAAAACTATAACCACCTATTTCGTCTTCTGCTACATTACTACGATCAATTACAGGGGCTACCGGTGTCATTCTATTTACTTCTTTAATTACGGCCTCACCGTATTCGAATTTTTCAATATCTTCGAAAGTGACGTCACGAGAGGTGTTTGATGAGAGAATCACGTCGATGTCATCAAACAGCCGTTTTTTCACATGGGGATACTTACACAAGTAATATATGGTGAAACTCAATGAATTTGCCGTCTTTAAAATCAAAAGTATTTTAATAAAAACACATAAAATGATTTTTTTTTAAAAATAAAAAAAAATAAATTGTTTATATTTGCACACGTACCGTATCGGCTCCACCAATAAAGACTTCAGTTAAGTTCGATCGAATCACGTCATCGGTTACATCAAAATCTTGAATCTGCGACGTCTTTCCTTGATTTTCCGTTATCGAATACTTCAAAAGAAATAAAGACATTATATCCCGCCATTTCTCTTGAACATTTATTCCATTCTTAATGTCCATAATTATTTCTTCGCGACGTATTTTAATATCATTCTCTATACTATTGTTTAAAGATTTCATTTCATTCAAATAATAATTATTGTAGTAAAGAAGGAGTGTGTGACGTAACCAAGCTGGTTGTTCAAAGAATAACAAGGATTTGAAAAATGAATGAACCTGTCTAATAAGATCTTGACTTGATTTATATGCACTTGAATTTTCGTTTTGTTTATTTGTACCATCCAAAGAATTGTAAAGGGATTTTACCGCAAAAGAAGGTTTACCCAACGTCGAGGCAATAACCAAATCCAAGGAAAACCTTTGCATCAAACTAGTAAATTCCAACAAGATCTTATCATCATATAACGATTTCCAACAAATTTCCATTTCCTTAAACATTTCTTGTGTTACATGCACTTGATTTTTCAAAAAACCTGGATTCATGAGTAAGGGTACAGATAACATTCTGTTTTTTTTCCAACTAGCTACATCACTGTTCATAACCATACCGTTCTTACCAAATCCCAATTCGTCCATTCCGTCATGACTTGGATTTCGTAATGTAAAATTACTTTTTGTTGAATTCGAAAAGATTTTTTCAAGAAGTTCCGGTTTACTTAAATAAATTTCTCGATGGGTAATCAAATTGTCACCGACATAAATCTCAAATATTGGTCCATATTTTTCATAACAATCCCTAATGAAATTAAACGTGCCTACTTTGTAAGAGTAAAGTAGGGTACCGAATATAGGAAGTGGAACTGGTCCCGGGACCTTGCTTTTTCGCGTAAAATAACGAAAATAAAAATGAGCGGTGTAAAGAGTTAAAGAAGCAAGGGTGAGCAAGAAAAGTTCAATAATCGTAAGCGAGGTTACTAACGACATTGTCACTAATATTATTTTCGTAAATAAAAAAAAAAGAAATCTTTCATTTATGTACAGTATTTAACAAAAACTCCTTATGGGACTAAAATTCTTAATTGGTTAACTCATTATATCTGAATTAACGACCTACTAACGACTGCAACGTAATAAATGACGCACTTTAGGAAATTAATTTGTCGGTCACTCTTTCGGATAAAGTATTTATCAAACGTGATTTAGTCATCTGGCGAACTATAAAAAAATTTGTTTTGAATATTCTATCCCCTCAAACGACAGGCGAACAATATTAACATTTCTACCGGAAACCTGTTCAATTTACCCTCACCTCATGATTCATTATTTCAATGAAGCATTTGCTAATGAAAATCAACTTTTAACATATAGTGTTTTTAATTTTAAGAGTTTATCAAAGTTCTATAAAATAAAAAATCCATTAAGTAATTACCAATAATTTTAAATAATGATTGTATATTTTGTATTATTATTTATGAAATCATTTCCATTAAAGATTTTTAATTTGCCTTTTCCTATCCAAAAATAAAAAAAAAAAATTTGAATTAAGCAAGAACGAGTAAGCGTTGCATGGTAGATGTGCATCATGTATGTCTGATCAATTACATGCGAAAAGCTATTGGCTAACAATTGGCAAAATGAACGTAAATATAGAAACGAAGGATGTCTATCCGTTAAATACATTCGATCCTATGAGAGTAATTGGGATATACAGTATATTTCTTGAAAATTATATTCACGTATACTACGGGTCATATGGTTGGTTCACTTAATCATGAATTTATTTAATGCGTTTTGTTGCATATACCAACGTGGCGTAGTTATTATGTGGTGTAGTAACTTTGGAAATATTTTGCTCGCATAATTCAATATTTGCAAATTAAGTATTTACAAACTTTGAAAATCATATCATAAATAGTATGCTCTGCAAGAAACTGAAAGACATGAAAGGTTTTGAATATCAATTTTTTATTATTTAATTTTTTTTTGCGAAAATTTATTTTACGTAAGATATAAATAGTAATTATTGGACTTTATCATGAATTAATGAAGATTCCATTGTAGTGATTTATATATAAAACCATTAATGACGAATAAGCGATGAGAACAATCCATATATGGTTATACACTTTTTCATTTTTTAAGTATTAATTTAACCTTTTTGTCTTTTATAAAGGAGGATTGAAAGGTATTGAAATGCAATCGCCAGATAGTGGATAAACTTTTAAGGATGTATAACCTTGGTTGCTTATGCATCCGATAATGCATTTATTGGTACAATGGTCGTAAGAAAGAAAGTATTTGATACTCAGGTTCAAAACATTGCAAGTGCCAGTTTGTCTATATTCATTGAGGTTCATCATAATGAAATAAATAATCATAGATATTGTTACATAATTTCCGCCCGAAAACACCATAATTTCGCATGTAGATTTTTTCGATATTAGTCCTTTGTAGATCATTTTGCCATGCCAGGATGGTAGGTTGCCAGGCGTCCTAATTATTTTTTATAAATATGAGCTGAAAATCCTAAAACATATATACTCCTTAAACCTTCCTTACTCCCTTACGATATATTTCTCTGAAATATTCATCTTTTTCTAAATCTTATTCAGAGAATTTGATGTCAAAATTCCTTTATTGATCCAGATTTATTTTACTATTCATCATGCAATGCTTAAAAATAGGCAATGTATTAGATCAATTGTGATATGTTTTATAGAATCAAAATATAACAAACATAATAATTTAAATCATCTTACTAGAGTTTAGACTCAAGTCAGAAAAGATAACTTGAGTCAAAGTCAAATCAAGAAATTTTTGACTAGAAGAGTACTCAATTTGGAAATTTGAGTCAAAAACTTGAGTCAAACTCAAGTTAAAGTCATAATGCAGACTGAAAAAATACAGTGCAGGTCAAAATTTTGTGATATTTTTGGGACTGAACTAAAGGAAATTTTTTTAAAAAATTTTTATTCAATGATTATATAATAAATGTTAATTATATTATGCTAATAA